ATTAATAGATATAGGAATTAAAATAAACTGTGGTTTGGAAAGCAATGGTGGGGTTGGAGACAGGACTGGGCTCTGAACAAAGCTTTAGTTTCAGAAGAGAACGTGCTGCAGAGCAGCTCTCTTGCTAATCTGCAGTGCTTCTCCAGCAGCCCAACATCTTGGAAGGCACAGCTTGCAGCAGGGCACTCTTGGTTAAAGTAGAGGGGACTTTCTGGTGTATTGTGACAAACTGGGTTGGGACACAAATATGATCTGGGTCAAACCCCTACTATTTGATAATAGCTGTGGGCCTTCGGCTGTTGCCCTTATACTACAGGTTGAGCAACCCTTATTCCAAATGCTTGGGACCAGAAGTGTTTTGGGTTTCAGATTTTTTTTTTTTTTGGAATATTTGCATAGTATATACGCTTACCCTGCTGAGCATCCAAGATCAGAAAATTTGAAATCTGAAATGCTCCAATGAGCATTTCCTTTGAGCCTCATGTTGGTGCTTAAGAAGTTTTGGAATTTTGGAGCATTTTGGGTTTTGGACTTTTGGACTTGGGATGCTTAGCCTGCACATATTTTGAGAATAATAGTGTGTGCCCTGCCTGACATGTAAGGCTACTATAAGGGTAAAAAAAAATAAAAATAAAAAAATAAAGGTAAGCAATGGAATGGCACTTTGCAACTTGTTAAGAACTCCATTTTCCGGGTCAAGATGGCACTTGGGGGCACTGTGTGACATGGATTGTAGCCACAGGAGCCAGGAGTGCCTGCCTTACATAGCCAGGCCTCCTCGCCAGGAGGTCCCTGAGGGAGATACACACACAAGGGACAGTGACAAAGAGAAAGCAAAGTTCTGTGTTATTAGTAGCTGGGCTTGGGTCCCAGATGCCAAAGCAAGTGCTCTGGTAAATTGAACTGGGGCATGTGGCCCAGGTTAAAGGTCTCCAGAAGCCTCTCCTTGTTCATTAAGTCACTGGTGCCAAGGATTAAAACACTGAGCACGCTTAATAATGTGTAGGATCCACATGGAGGCAGGGTCAAAGCAGGCCCCTGAGAGAGCCATTTTCTGTGTGTGATTTATAAAATGCCCATTGACCTCACTCATTGAAAATGCCAGCTCCATGGGCATCCGATATTAGCATTTCCTCATCCTTACTCTTCCCTTCAATTTCACTTCTCAGAGAACGGAATTCGAGAAATTGTTGCTTCATTCCAAAAGAGTTCAGGTTTGCCCTTAAGATGGGAGCATAGGGAGTATCTGCGGAACGCATCACCTTGGGTGGAGAAATTGTACTTTCAGTGAGAATAGGCAAAATGATATTAACTTTCCATGTTCACTTCTTGGGTCAAATCTAACCTGGAAAATGTAGTAGATAGTGAACGTAGCAGAGTTCCAGTTGGGTATGTGGTCATGTTTCTTGCCCAAGCTGCCTGCATCTGATTTTGCTTAACCACAGTTTCTGGAAGCATCAGCTAGTCCTGGGCCTAGAACCATCCCTCCCTTTCCTGGGGGCAGATAAGAATCCAGGAAGTTCAGTTGGGATGACACAGGCAGAAGGTCCCTCTTGCCTTCAGTTCATCGTGGCTGCAGTGTATATTCCCATTCTCTGAGCCCGTGATGTTCCTTAGGGACAGAAATTCTGCTGTGTCCATGCCGAGCCTGGGCATTACGCTGCTCACATGAAACCTGTTCCCCTGATGTTCACCACCTGTCCAGAGCACGTCCAGGAAATGGGGCTTGGTACCTATTAGTACTGTGATTTGCCTACCTCTGTCCCCTTCTGAGCCTAGGGAAGTTGCAGCACCTTTCTCCTTGCCACCTCTGCTCCACCCTACCACCCCTTACAATGAGGCAGGCTTTCCAGGAAGATCTTTGTCTTCAAGCAGTTTCTTATTTGTACCCTGTAAACGTAAATCTTTCACGAGGTGAAGAATCGTGACTGCCTGGCCACCTGCTTTGAAAAGGGGAGTGTAAATATACAAATCAAAATCTCAGTGCAGTATTTTGCTCCAGAGATGATTATTTTAAAAACAGTTTTTTTGAAGTATAATTGACATACAATAAACTACACACATTGAACATGTGCAACTTGATCAGTTTTGATATATGCATAAACCCATGAAATCATCACCATAATCAAGATAATGACCATATCCATCACTGCTAAACATTTCTTTGTGCCCCTTTATAATTCCTCTGGCCATTCCTCCCTCCCCCAGGGAAACCACTGATCTGCTTGCTGTCACTATAGATTGACTTGTTTGCATTTTCTAGAGTTATACATAAATAGAAGCATAAGATGTGCACTCTTTTTGTCTGACTTCTTTCACTCAGCATAATTGTTTTAAAAATTTATCCATGTTGTAGCATGCATCAACAACTTGTTCCTTTTTGTTACTGAATAGCAGGGCTGGGTCTAGGGTAAGGCAAGTGCAGTGTGTAGGATGCAAAATGTAATCAGTTCTTTATTATTGTTGTCATTACTACCAGAACACTTGATATGAGACCTGCGCTCTTGACAGATTTTTAAGTGTAACATATGCTATTGTTAATTATAGGCACAGTGTTGTACAGCAGATCTCTAGAACTTACTCATCTTGTATGAGTGGACTTATATCACTGGAACAGGAACTCCCCATTTCTCCCTCCTCCCAGTACTTGGCAACCATCCTTCTACTTTCTCTTTCTATGAGTTTGGCTATTTTAGATACCTCATCTAAATGGAATCATGCAGCATAGTGTCCTCCAGGATTATCTATGTTGTTGCAAATAGTAGAATTTCCTTCTGTTGTAATACTGAGTAATATTCCACTGTGTGTATATCCCACATATTCTTTGTCTATTCATCTGCCCATGGACATTTGGGTTATTTCTATGTCTTGCTTATTGCGAATAGTGCTGCAACGAACATAGGAATGGAGACATTGCTTTGAGATTCTGACATAGATTCTTTTGGGTCTAAACCCAGAAGTGGGATTTCTGGATCATATGGTAGTTCTATTTTAAACAGTTTGAAGACCCCCCATACTGCTTTCCAGAGCAGCTACCCCATTTTACATTCCCATCAACAGTGTACAAGTGTTCCAATCTCTCTACATCCTCACCAATATTTGTTATCTTTTGGGTTTTTTTTTGATAATAGCCATCCTGACAGGTGTGAGGTGCTATCTCATTGTGGTTTTGATTTGCCTTTCTCTAATGATTACTGATGTTGAGCCTCTTTTCAGATAACTGTTGGCCATTTGTATGAGTTCTTTGAAGAAATGTCTATTCAAGTTCTTTGCCCATTTTTAAATCAGGTTATCTTTTTTCCCTACTGAGTTGTATGAGTTCCTTATATATTTTGGATATTAACCCCTTATCAAATATATAGTTTACAAATATGTTTTACCATTCCCAAGGTTGTCTTTTCACTCTGTTCATTGTTTCCTTTGTTGTGCAGAAGATTTTAGTTTAATGTAGCTCCACCTATTGTTGCTTGTGCTATTGGTGTCTTATCCAAGAATTCATTGCCTAGACCAATGTTTCCCCTATGTTTTCTTCCAGGAGTTTTACAGGTTTAGGCTTTATGTTTAAATCTTTAATTCATTATGAGTGATTTTTGTGTATGATGTGTGATAACAGTCTAATTTTATTCTTTTGCATGTGGCTATCTAGTTTTCCCAGCACCATTTGTTGACAAGACTACTTTTTACCCATTGCATATTTTTGGCACCGTTGACGAAGATCAGTTGACGTTTTATGTGTAGGTCCTTTCTGGGCTCTCTAGTCTGTTCCATTGGTCTATATGTCTATTTTTATTCCAGTACCATACTGTTTAAAGTACCTTTATAATATATTTTAATCTGCAAGGGTGATATGTCCAACTTTGTTCTTCTTTTCAAAATTACTTTGGGTATTTGGGGATTTTTGTGGTTTCATATGAATTTTAAAGTTGTTTTTAAATTTCTGTAACAAATGGCATTGGGATTTTGAAATACAATCAGTTCTGAATTGGTTCCTTTTTTTTTTTTTTCTTTTGACAATGGATTCCATTTTTCTACTTCTTTACAAATCTGGTCATTTTTTATTGCATGGGACATACTTATACTAAAACTTTTTTTGTTGTTTATTTGAAATTAAAATTTAGGTATAGTGAATTCTGTCTGGCAGCTCAATGTCCTGATAATGCTAGCCCTCCTGACCCCTCTGAATCCTTATCTGTGTCTTCTTGTCTCAGGAAATTCTCCAGGCTCTTCCTGAGTTCTCACTTATAGTGCTGTAGCCTAGACACATTCTTGTGGCAATAAGCTGGTACAGTTGTAGGGCTCATCTTTGTTTCCTGACTTGCAGAGATTGCTTTCCTTTGTTGTCTGATGTTCATCATCTTAAAACTTAAATTTTCATATATTTTGTACTTTTTAGTTGTTTAACACAGGGTGCAAATCTGATCCCTGTTACTTTGTCTTTGGTTGAAAATAGAAGTCCATGCTCAGAAGTTATTATTTTTAGCCAGGGGCCAGAACATGGTGCTAATTGGGGCCAAAATAGTATGTTCATCATAGGAGAGTTTATTGGCTTGCTTTGTAGTTTCATGAAATTATCTACCTAACAAAATAATTCTATAAACCATAAGGGTACCTGGTGATTGGGAGCATGACTCATTACTGTTGGGAAATTGATTAGAAGTACACATCTGCTAATAAGAGAATGGAGATGGGCCACTGGGGTTATACCAAATACCAAGCATAAATCAGCATACTACATTATATCACATTACTCATTAGAGTTTGGACAAAAAGACAGGCTTGGCTAAGGGTCTAATCTTGGAAGCTCAAATTGTATTTGGAGTGAGGGCCAGGAAGACAAGTCTGCTACAATCAGGGCGGACAAACTGGGGTCATAGAGGGACTTAGGAAGATTTAAGTCCTCTTATTCCCTGTTCAATAATCAGTGATATTCTTTGTAGGGGGCTCTGGAAATCAAAATAAAAGCATGTTCTCTCTTTTCTCTTTGGTTTCTCTTGGTCCAGCTATATGCCGCTACCCTCTGGGCATGTCAGGAGGGCACATTCCAGATGAAGACATCTCAGCTTCCAGTCAGTGGTCGGAGTCTACAGCTGCCAAGTATGGAAGGTGAGGATGGCTGCTTCAGGAAAGCCTGAGTGGTGGGTTGGACAGATTTCCTGGACACAGAGCCCTGACACAGAAGAGTGGTACTGGCAGGGGCTAGTGAGAGTGAAGGGAGGACATCAAGGGGGCCTGTCCTGCTCTGTATGTTTCCAGGGAGAGAATTCAAGGCTTGGCCACATGTGCTGGTCTTGCAACCCCATTCCAACCACAGAGGCCCCAGAGCCATACCACCCATGGTGAATGGGTTCATTGATACCCAGTGGATGTGCTTTAGCTGCCTTCTCACCACGAGCTGATGCAGGAGGTGGGCCAAAATGGCAGCTATGGGAAGGGGCAGATTATGGAGGAGGCTGGGAGCTAGTGTCCATGCCTCTTGTCAGTGGGTGTCTGTGCAACCTCACTCACTGTAAAGCACTGGTGGTTGTAGGGTTGGAAAGGAGCAGCAAAGTTGTGGGTAGCATCGGTGAGAAAAGGGAGAGGGAAAGTGGTAAGAGGTTCTCAGAATAAACCTTATGATGATTTCACAATTTTGCTCAGTGGTAGCTTGCCCTGGAGGTAATAAAATGAAACCAGGTTATTTACTACTCCCCTGAGTTGCTCTTACCCTCGCACTGACCTTACCCTTCCATGGCTGCTTGCTGGGCTGCCGTGCCCATCCTGCCTTGTTGGAGGGCCTCCCCTCTCTCCCTCCCCACTCCCACTGCTGGACATCCAAGGGAGAAGTGGCTAGCTTTGTTAAGCAGAGTCCAAAAGTGGCAGAGGAGATGTGAAATGACTCCAAAGGGGAACAGGGGGTAAGAAGGGGTTTCTTTCCCTCAAGGTCTCCAAATCAGGCTGGGAAGTAAAGATGACATGTGATCTGAAGGCCTCCATCTCCCTGGTGGTGACTGTCTCTCTGAGTTTCATGGTGCCCTGGGGAGAGGGACCTGACCACAAATGGGTACTGTGGTGGCAGTCAGACCTGTGGGGAAAACCCAAACAGTTTATCTGGATTGGGCTCCCAGCCTGCCCTCTCCCATGGCACCAGGCAGCTGCTTGCTGTGAACGGTAAACAACTCTGTGGTTTCATGGTTTCTCCTTCTCCCCCCGCCCCCCACCTCTCAAGGCTGGACTCAGAAGAAGGGGATGGAGCCTGGTGCCCTGAGATTCCAGTGGAACCTGATGACCTGAAGGAATTTTTGCAGATTGACTTGCACACCCTACATTTTATAACTCTGGTGGGGACCCAGGGGCGCCATGCAGGGGGTCATGGCATTGAGTTTGCCCCCATGTACAAGATCAATTACAGTCGGGATGGCACTCGCTGGATCTCTTGGCGGAACCGGCATGGGAAACAGGTAGAAAGAAGAAACGTCCAGAACCCGGGATGTCCGAGACCATATTTTGACTTAAGCTAGAAGAAAAAGAGGACAAGTTGTCTGTGTAGATTGGTGTGTCCACAGACCCAGCATGCCCTTGTCAATGTGCAGCCCAGGGTGAGGGAGGGGGGGAAGTGGGCACAGAGAGGAATATCAAGGCTGCTGGGAAAGCTGAGTGGATACTTTCTGCTGGGAGAGGGTCCATCAAAAAGGTGATGAGGGGTGGAGAAAAGTGAGGATGGGCCGGGCACGGTGGCTGACGCCTGTAATCCTAGCACTCTGGGAGGCTGAGGCGGGAGGATTGCTCGAGGTCAGGAGTTTGAAACCAGCCTGAGTGAGAGCGAGACCTCGTCTCTACTATAAATAGAAAGAAATTAATTGGCCAATTAATATATATATATAGAAAAATTTAGCCGGGCATGGTGGTGCATGCCTGTAGTCCCAGCTACTCGGGAGGCTGAGGCAGAAGGATTGCTTGAGCCAGGAGTTTGAGGTTGCTGTGAGCTAGGCTGACGCCACGGCACTCACTCTAGCCTGGGCAGCAAAGCGAGACTCTGTCTCAAAAAAAAAAAGGAAAGTGAGGATGATTTAATATCATCTCTTCTCACTCTCTCCTCTCTTCTCAGGTGCTGGATGGAAACAGTAACCCCTATGACATTTTCCTAAAGGACTTGGAACCACCCATCGTGGCCAGATTTGTCCGGTTCATTCCAGTCACCGACCACTCCATGAATGTGTGCATGAGGGTGGAGCTTTACGGCTGTGTCTGGCTAGGTAGGTCTCTAGCACAGGGAGCTTGCAGATCTTTTTAAAAACCAAAACTCCTGGGGAACAATAAAGATAATCAAATCAGAAAGGGATGGGATCAGTTGCCTCTGGAATGAAGTGATTCCCTCTTAGGTAAAGCAGAGAAAGGAGCATTGCTCATTAACCTGTGGCTTGGTGCCCCACACCTGGAATAATGTGTTCAGAATCACTATGCTGACTGCCACTGAGGAGTGCTCCTCAGTAGTGCTCCCTGTGTGCCCAGATTGAGTCCTGGTGGACACGCTGTGCAAGCTCGCCCCCTTGAAACCTCACATGGCTCCCACTGGTCTGAGCGGTGGGCACATTTTTTCCCCAAAGGCACTGACACAGCTGTGTTTCCTTTGGCAGATGGCTTGGTGTCTTACAATGCTCCCGCTGGGCAGCAGTTTGTGCTCCCTGGAGGCTCCATCATTTATCTGAACGATTCTGTCTACGATGGGGCTGTTGGGTACAGGTAAATTCCAAGAAACTTTGCTTATCAGAATGGGAAAATGGCCATTAAGAAAGAAGAAGATTTTATCATGGCTTGGGAGCAATAATCAATCAATCAACAAACTAGTCCCTATCCTAGGCATTTTGAGATAACTTAGACGAAGGAGCACACATGATCTTTATTTCCAAGGAAATTAAAGCCTAGTTTGGGAAGACAAGGTAATCACACAGAAAACAACAATAAATTACACAAAGCAAAGGGTATAGCTCTAAGTATGGTAGCCATATTTTTGACCCTCAAAGCAGGACATATGGTCTGACATAAATATTGGTCTAATTATGGAAACACAGGGCCAGAGAATTGAAGTAATAAGTACAATAAATTGGGCAGGTCAAGAAGTTTAGGAAGAAGGGACTCCATAAATACAAAAGCTTTAGAAATTGTGAAAAGAGGGAAACTGTTAAGGCTTATGGTAGACAAGGAAAGTTTCCAGGATGAGATGAAGACTGGAGTGGAGGAAGGTAGGTAGAAGACAGTAGAAGGAAGGAGGCAGGGCTGAGGACAGGGATGGCCTGTCTCTAGCAGACGCTGGAGCAGAGAACAGCAGAACAGACCAGTGAGTTGGCCTGGCACAGCTCAATGGAGAGCCATGGCGGAGAAGTACGTTCAGTTACAGGAGGAATTTAAGGTTGGATGAAAGATGGTTCTGCCTATCCCACCTCACCATTCTTCTCGCCCACTCCAATAGTTTTCTCTCCTAGCTCGGTTTTTATCTGCAAAGGTTGAGCCTGGGAGAATGGTCAGACCATAGTAAAGTCCAGACCAGATGATGGAGGTTGATAGCAGTTAAGAGAGGAAGATATTAGTGAGTCTCAGGAAGGGGAGTGTGGAATTGCAGCCTTCCATTGGCTTAGGTGTGGAGAATAAACCGGTACCCCCAGCTGCTATCCCTTGGAGGAAGTCCTGAGTCATCTAGTCTTCTACTGAGTTGCTCTTACCCTCGCACTGACCTTACCCTTCCATGGCTGCTTGCTGGGCTGCCGTGCCCATCCTGCCTCGCTGGAGGGCCTCCCCTCTCTCCCTCCCCACTCCCACTGCTGGACATCCAAGGGAGAAGTGGCTAGCTTTGTTAAGCAGAGTCCGAAAGTGGCAGGGGAGATGTGAAATGACTCCAAAGGGGAACAGAGGGTAAGAAGGGGTTTCTTTCCCTCAAGGTCTCTAAATCAGGATGGGAAATAAAGGTGACATGTGATCTGAAGGCCTCCATCTCCCTAGTGGTGACTGTCTCTCTGAGTTTCGTGGTGCCCTGGGGAGAGGCACCTGACCACAAATGGGTACTGTGGTGGCAGTCAGACCTGTGGGGAAAACCCAAACAGTTTATCTGGATTGGGCTCCCAGCCTGCCCTCTCCCACGGCACCAGGCAGCTGCTTGCTGTGAACGGTAAACAACTCTGTGGTTTCATGGTTTCTCCTTCTCCCCCCGCCCCCCACCTCTCAAGGCTGGACTCAGAAGAAGGGGATGGAGCCTGGTGCCCTGAGATTCCAGTGGAACCTGATGACCTGAAGGAATTTCTGCAGATTGACTTGCACACCCTACATTTTATAACTCTGGTGGGGACCCAGGGGCGCCATGCAGGGGGTCATGGCATTGAGTTTGCCCCCATGTACAAGATCAATTACAGTCGGGATGGCACTCGCTGGATCTCTTGGCGGAACCGGCATGGGAAACAGGTAGAAAGAAGAAACGTCCAGAACCCGGGATGTCCGAGACCATATTTTGACTTAAGCTAGAAGAAAAAGAGGACAAGTTGTCTGTGTAGATTGGTGTGTCCACAGACCCAGCATAGAGAGAGTTCAAGCAACTAGGGAAGAACAATGACTAAAGAGAAGGAAAGGAAATGACTAGGAGTAGAAGACTAGATGACTCAGGCCTTCCTCCAAGGGATAGCAGCTGGGGGTACCGGTTTATTCTCCACACCTAAGCCAATGGAAGGCTGCAATTCCACACTCCCCTTCCTGAGACTCACTAATATCTTCCTCTCTTAACTGCTATCAACCTCCATCATCTGGTCTGGACTTTACTATGGTCTGACCATTCTCCCAGGCTCAACCTTTGCAGATAAAAACCGAGCTAGGAGAGAAAACTATTGGAGTGGGCGAGAAGAATGGTGAGGTGGGATAGGCAGAACCATCTTTCATCCAACCTTAAATTCCTCCTGTAACTGAGCGTACTTCTCCGCCATGGCTCTCCATTGAGCTGTGCCAGGCCAACTCACTGGTCTGTTCTGCTGTTCTCTGCTCCAGCGTCTGCTAGAGAAAAAAAAGGAAAGTGAGGATGATTTAATATCATCTCTTCTCACTCTCTCCTCTCTTCTCAGGTGCTGGATGGAAACAGTAACCCCTATGACATTTTCCTAAAGGACTTGGAACCACCCATCGTGGCCAGATTTGTCCGGTTCATTCCAGTCACCGACCACTCCATGAATGTGTGCATGAGGGTGGAGCTTTACGGCTGTGTCTGGCTAGGTAGGTCTCTAGCACAGGGAGCTTGCAGATCTTTTTAAAAACCAAAACTCCTGGGGAACAATAAAGATAATCAAATCAGAAAGGGATGGGATCAGTTGCCTCTGGAATGAAGTGATTCCCTCTTAGGTAAAGCAGAGAAAGGAGCATTGCTCATTAACCTGTGGCTTGGTGCCCCACACCTGGAATAATGCGTTCAGAATCACTATGCTGACTGCCACTGAGGAGTGCTCCTCAGTAGTGCTCCCTGTGTGCCCAGATTTGAGTCCTGGTGGACACGCTGTGCAAGCTCGCCCCCTTGAAACCTCACATGGCTCCCACTGGTCTGAGTGGCAGGCACATCTTTTCCCCAAAGGCACTGACACAGCTGTGTTTCCTTTGGCAGATGGCTTGGTGTCTTACAATGCTCCCGCTGGGCAGCAGTTTGTGCTCCCTGGAGGCTCCATCATTTATCTGAACGATTCTGTCTACGATGGGGCTGTTGGGTACAGGTAAATTCCAAGAAACTTTGCTTATCAGAATGGGAAAATGGCCATTAAGAAAGAAGAAGATTTTATCATGGCTTGGGAGCAATAATCAATCAATCAACAAACTAGTCCCTATCCTAGGCATTTTGAGATAACTTAGACGAAGGAGCACACATGATCTTTATTTCCAAGGAAATTAAAGCCTAGTTTGGGAAGACAAGGTAATCACACAGAAAACAACAATAAATTACACAAAGCAAAGGGTATAGCTCTAAGTATGGTAGCCATATTTTTGACCCTCAAAGCAGGACATATGGTCTGACATAAATATTGGTCTAATTATGGAAACACAGGGCCAGAGAATTGAAGTAATAAGTACAATAAATTGGGCAGGTCAAGAAGTTTAGGAAGAAGGGACTCCATAAATACAAAAGCTTTAGAAATTGTGAAAAGAGGGAAACTGTTAAGGCTTATGGTAGACAAGGAAAGTTTCCAGGATGAGATGAAGACTGGAGTGGAGGAAGGTAGGTAGAAGACAGTAGAAGGAAGGAGGCAGGGCTGAGGACAGGGATGGCCTGTCTCTAGCAGACGCTGGAGCAGAGAACAGCAGAACAGACCAGTGAGTTGGCCTGGCACAGCTCAATGGAGAGCCATGGCGGAGAAGTACGTTCAGTTACAGGAGGAATTTAAGGTTGGATGAAAGATGGTTCTGCCTATCCCACCTCACCATTCTTCTCGCCCACTCCAATAGTTTTCTCTCCTAGCTCGGTTTTTATCTGCAAAGGTTGAGCCTGGGAGAATGGTCAGACCATAGTAAAGTCCAGACCAGATGATGGAGGTTGATAGCAGTTAAGAGAGGAAGATATTAGTGAGTCTCAGGAAGGGGAGTGTGGAATTGCAGCCTTCCATTGGCTTAGGTGTGGAGAATAAACCGGTACCCCCAGCTGCTATCCCTTGGAGGAAGTCCTGAGTCATCTAGTCTTCTACTCCTAGTCATTTCCTTTCCTTCTCTTTAGTCATTGTTCTTCCCTAGTTGCTTGAACTCTCTCTTGGCATTCTTTCACTCAGCCACACCCCAGCAGGCATAGACTCAAGCCATTGAGGAAATGAGAGATCAGTTGAATTCCATTTAGTTTAAAAAATCTTTGTTAACTGCTACTGCAAGGAATTTGGCTAGGCATGGCAGATATTCAAAGATAATGAAGGCATGGATTTTACCTGTGAGGAGCTCACAATTTGGAATGAAGTTCAAACAGGATATAGGTTACTACCACACAAAGATAGGAGTAGGACAGAGACTGTGTTTGCTCTGGGGTCAGAGGAAAGAGTAAGCTGCAGTAGGAAAGCACAAGATTGGGAGTGAAAACACCTGGATCCATATAATAAAAGTTACTTCTGTTTGCTATGAGGCTCAAGGGATTGAAAACGTATAATAAAAGCATTTTGTAAAGGTAAAGTGCTATACACATGTAAGTTATTACCTGATTAGAGCATCAGTAAAGACATGAGAGAATAGATGAGATCTGAATTGGGCCCCAAAGAATGGGTGGAACTTTCAGAGGAAGAGAATATTGAAATGGAATTTTTAGGCAGAGGGAATAGCATGAGGAGGAAAAAAAGAATCACGGCTATAAAGTTTAGGGGAATGTCTAGGAAAAATTAACTGTTTAGTTAACCATGGGCCATATTTATATAATAAAGAAGTAGATGAGAAACTTAACAAGGAGGATTATGGCATATTTTGGAGGAACTTGAAATCAAGGCTGGGAGGAACAAGAAGAAGAGGCAGAAAAGGAGTTGTTTTTCATGAACATTATCATCAACATAAGGAATCATTTAAGATTTTGAAAGCTAGGGCAGGACATGATTGGAGCTGTACTTCAGACAGATTAATCAAGCAGCATGGAAAGCTTAGATTTGAGTGGAATGAACAAGTCATAAGGGACAGTTTTTAATTTCAAATTTTGTCAGTTGAAAAGAATTAATGGCCAAGGCCATAATTATGACTGTGGGAAGGGAATGAGGATAATT